TTATACATCCATGGTCGTTTCCCATCAAGCATTTCGCTTCCGCAGCCCGTGGAGAGGAACTGCGCCGCCGCGCCTCGCTCTAAAGGCTGCGGGCGTCTTTGTCCCGCGAGATTTCAACGTCTCATGTAGGAGCCTCCAGAGCAAGTCGGACAAAATGACTAACCATCATGCAACGCACTAGCAAGACGTTGATCGCAACTGCGCAGGTCTCGCTTGTCTCAAACAAGCCTACTAGCTCTGTCCCCGTTGTTTTCACAAACACCCCCGCCTGTTAGTACACATTTACTGACACAAACATTTGTATCAACTGTTGTAGACCCAAATACATTAAATAAAATAAGAACTCATTCTCAAAAAAGATAAACGCCATTCTTAAAATGTATAAACGAACAATAGTTTGATTAATATTGATTAGAGTGCACAATAGAAATAAAAATAATTGAGAGAAGAAAAAGAGATATGTTATCTATCAAAACCCAGTTAGATTAACATTCATTGAAACAAAACACGGTATAAACTTAGGAGTGACTCCCATGAGGTTCATGTGTTTTCTTCACTCCGCTGGGAAACTGCTCTCATGTCAAGAAGCATGAGATCAGTGCATGCACGGCATCGTCCAATCAGTGAGCGATACACAGTAAGGGGGCGGGGCGAGGATTTCATCGGAGGATGGATCGGTGGTTCCTCCATTATCGTTCCTCGCTCCTCGATCCTCCGGCAGAAATAAGAGCCATGGGACGGTACTCAAGATGGCGCAGACAAATCAACTTCCGGTGAGACCGAGGAGCGAGGACATGAAAATAGTCGACCTGAGACAGGGCCAGGGGGCCCTTCTCACTTCGGTTAAATGGATTCCTTGCGTCCCTCACTTGCATCGTTTCCCTGCGACTAGTCCCTCCCACCAGGGAAGCATGGAGAGATGCAAGGAAATGAGTTTTAAGAGCAATGGGATCCTTTCCTCCGGAGCGTCACGTGAAGCGACGTCCGTTTGTGATGACGCTGCACAGCTGATCGTCTGACAGCAGCCAGCTCTGTCCCCGTTATTTCCACACACACCCCCGCCTCTGTTAGTACACATTTACTGACACAAACATTTGTATCATCTGTTGTAGACCCAAATAAATAAAATAAAAACTAATTCTCAAAAAAGATAAACGCCATTCAACGTCCATTTAGCTTAGGAACCTTCCAAACGGAGTGAAATGACCCGGAAGTACGTCACTGGCAGCCAACATTTCACAGTCTTTACTGAGCTGTGTGGAGTTTGTTCAACTTTTAAAAGATGTTTGAATGGTGATATACACAGTGATAGATGTTAAGGACTAACGTTTATAATAAATACATTTGTATTGATTTTAAGATATTTTCATAGTTCATACAATCATACGTATTGGGATCATTTGTATTAATGTGGACCGGAGGGAGAGGGTGACGAGCATAAGTTTAATTTCCTTTTTTATTTCAATTCCAACTTTGGTCATGAAGAATATGTTTCTCTGTTGTCCCCGTTCATAAAGCAACAGCATCAGAGCACGGTGCAGAGTCTCTAGATGAGTTTACAGTCCCTCGTTCTTATTAAACATCCATGTTGTAGTCCGCTGTATAGAAAACTGTAGTTTCCATAGTTTCCCCACAGCAGCAGACGCACATTCATGACGTCCGCTGGCGCATCATAAACACGTCGGATAGTGAAAGTGCATATCGGCTGCAGTCGAAGGGCCCTTCTCACTTCTCTTATTTTTAATTTCCTCGCTCCTCGGCCTCACCGGAAGTTGATTTGTCTGCGCCATCTTGAGTAGCGTCCCAATGGCCTTATTTTTGCCGGAGGAGCGAGAATGGAGGAACTATAACCGAGGGAACCACCAGACCATCCTTCGACGAAATCCTCAGACACTCGCCCCGCCCCCTTACTGTGTATCGCTCACTGATTGGACGATGCAGTGCATGCACTGATCTGATGCTTCTTGACATGAGAGCAGTTTCCCAGCGGAGTGAATAAAACACATGAACCTCACGGGAGTCACTCCTCAGTTTATACCGTGTTTTGTTTCAATTCATGTATCATTTAGTTACAAATATGTGATATATCTGAACAACAAAGTGGTCAAAAATCATTTTATTCATTTATTGGAAACATTTTCATGATCACTTTTTTCGTTTTACATTTTCATTTGTCATTTCCATTCAGTCAGTCATTAAGTGCTATTAAAATGTTAATGTGCTACATATCCACACAAACACACAAAGTGTGCAATCCAATGAATGTTAATCTAACTGGGTTTAGATAGATAACATATCTCTTTTTCTTCTCAATTATTTTATTTCTTTTGTGCACTCTAATCAATATTAATCAAACTATTGTTCGTTTATACATTTTAAGAATGGCGTTTATCTTTTTTGAGAATTAGTTCTTATTTGATTTTATTTATTTGGGTCTACAACAGATGATACAAATCTTTGTGTCAGTAAATGTGTGCTAACAGAGGCGGGGGTGTGTGTGGAAATAACGGGGACAGAGCTGCTGACAGCGTCATCACAAACGGACGTCGCTTCACGTGACGCTCCGGAGGACAGGAAGTCCCATTGCTCTTAAAACTCATTTCCCTGCTTCTCGTGGTTTCCTTGCGTCTCTCCATGCTTCCCTGGTGGGAGGGACTAGTCGCAGGGAAACGACGCAAGTGAGGGACGCAAGGAATCCATTTAACCAAAGTGAGAAGGGCCCGAATAGTCCATTTAGCTTAGGAACCTTCCTAACGGAGTGAAATGACCCGGAAGTCCCTCAGTGGCAGCCATGATAAGTGCCGTTCGAATTCTCTAGAATGATAGGAAAGGAGGTTTCAAACTTCCTTTATAACCTCCTTTAGCTTAGGAACCACTGGACCTCCATAACCGAAAGAAGAGGAGAAAATGCTGCCCCACAATGCCTTGCAGCCGCAGCATTTGACGTCACACAACAGTCGGCCGTTCACGGAAACAACCAATTATGACGAAGAAATTATATCATGAAAGTTACGGTGCTTATTAAGCTTTTTAAAACGTATGTGGTAAGTTGCCAAAGTGGTTTGTTCTGAACGTTCATCAGTATTATAATCAAAAAGAGAAATATGAACGTTAGTTTTTACTGAAATGATCAAATAAAGTCAACATTTCACTGAGCTGTGTGGGGTTTGTTCAACTTTTAAAAGATATTTGAATGGTGATTATTGTTAAGTGTAAGTATTAATATGTCTGCATGTAACTGCACTATAACTGTTCCACAGTAAGAGGGCGCTATAGGCGTAAGGAGGCGCAGCTATTGTAGCTGACGTCAGGTATCAGATATAAGGGATTGTTCCCTCCCCTTCTATCTCTCTCTCTCTATTTCTCATGGAGAGCAGGTCAAGTGGTGCAATGCACATATGAAAATAAACCACGCCAGTTAAGGCTAAAGAAGACCTCGTCGTCATGACCAGTTTATTGCTATACATGTGACTCTGTCAACAGGTTATGGGCCCAGATCACGGAAGAGCGAAATAACGATAGCTAGTTAGCTGAAAAGTTTAGGCTAGTTTAGCGGCGGGAAAACCGCGGGACGCTAAAGCTAAGCTAACGGGCAGCTAAGCTAAGCTACAATCAAAAGATGGCGACCAGAGGCAGAAGCAAGTGGCCCACGTTTGACGGAAGGGCAGAAGAATACGAGCTCTGGGAAGAGCGGATGTTGTGCTGTATGCACGGAGTGGGGCTGAAAAAGACAATTTTGACGGGCCTCACGGGAGAAATAACGGAGGCCGCACGAGCCCTGGATACTAAGCTGAACGCCGACGCATACTGCGAACTAGCACCACTCCTAGACAACACAAGCTTGGGGCTGATATCTCCGGGACACAAAGGACAAAGGCCGAGAGAGTCTAAAAGTGTTAAGAGAACACTACATCGGCAGAGGTAGGCCCCGGATTGTATCCCTGTATATAACATTGACCGCGCTGAAGAAAGCTAACACAGAGACTGTGACTGAATACGTCATCAGGGCGGAACAGATCATCACGGCGCTCAAAAGTGCAGGAGACGCACCGAGCGATGGACTAATGATGGCAATGGTTATGAGGGGACTACCGGAGATGTATAAACCGTTCACACTGTTGGTGACGCACGGTTCAGCGGACATGTCGCTGGGGGAGTTCAAGGCCAAGTTGCGGAACTTCGAGGCCTCAGAAGACTCAGACCCGGTCGCCGAGGAGGCGGGAGAAAGGGTAATGAAGGCCCGGGCAGCGCCAAAGAAAAAGACCGGACCCCCGACGGAGATGGCGTGTTGGCGATGTGGAGAAAAGGGTCACCGAAAGGATAATTGCACAAAAACTGTTTGGTGTAGTTTCTGTAAAACTTCGGGACACGCAGACAGAGTGTGTAGAAAGAAGCGCGAACAGAGCGCTCGGTACGCGCGCGTGCAAGATGGCTGCTGTGGACAAGATGGCAGCAGCGGTGGAAGTGAGGCGAGTCAAGACGACGCCCGGAGAGCAGCGGGAAGAGAGGACTTCACTTTCGGGGCGCAGACAGCATACGACAGCCGGTCGCAGCAGCAGCAGGCCCAAAGGAAGGGACTGATCGTGGACACAGGTGCGTCGTCCCACATTATCAACGACAGGAACCAATAGACCTATCGCTAAGCCACGCCCCCTTTGAAAACTCGGACAAACAAAGCCGACCGTGAATGACTCTTGACAATGGCCGCGGGGGGAGTTCAAGTTAAAATAACATTAAAATAGAAGCAAGAGCTAATAAAAGCAACAGCAGATGAAAGTTAACAGTTAAAAGCAAGAGTAAAAAGGTAGCCATGTATTTCTTTATATAAAATATCTAATCTTGTTGCCTGTCGTGTGTAGTGGTGACTGTTGTGTAACCATTGAAATTATAATATGATGTTGAATGTTAGCAGTGGTGGTCACTACATTAAATCTATAACTATAACTGTCCTTGTTGGTCATCATTTTCACTGTTATGCACCTGGCTGACTGTAGCGTTACCTTTTTTTGGGTGAGGGTCTGTGTCTTTTCGGAGCAGCACACACGAGAGCCCGGATGGGATCTGATATTCCAGAGTTGGCTTCCCATCTCTGAAGTGCTTTGAGGTGAAAAGACAGTTAGCAAAAGTTAGCTAAAAACACCAGCTAACTAGCGAGGACGAAAAGTCAGACAGCAAACGTTGATGTTGATAACACTGTAGCTAGTTAGCTGGCTAACAAGTTGGCAGCTAACGTTAGCTAGCTGGGCTGGATATACGCTAGCTAGTTGGCAGTCAAAGTCAATCGTTAGCAAACTAATAGTTTGGTCTACGTTTCTAATACATACCGTCAAATATGATGTCTTTATGAATTGACCTTACCTTTGAGCAAACATAAGTGTCCTTGATAATTGTCTTCACATTCAGTTGTGTATGTGGTTGACGACACAGCATAATCCACCGCTTGCATTTGTCGAGTTTTCTTTTGGGCTTCGGAAAAGGTACGAAATATACTCCTCCATCCAGTCTTTCAGGGTACCTGGTGTCCGAAATTACAGGTACCCCACGCACAGCGTTTCACCATCAGATATTAGCTAGATAATAAACATAGAAACTGAACTCTTCACAGTAGTTTCGATCACAGACGTCTGGTTTTGGTTTGATGCGCCCCACAAACGGCTTTTCTGGTGATGTCCGAGTTTTCTGTCAGGAGGGATTTTCGCTGTGATATGATTGGACAAATTCTATTTGGGGCGTGGTTTAGCGATAGGTCTATTCAAGAACTTTGACAGCACCTTCGAGCCGGAGAGACACAGCATGGAGCTGGCAGACGGGAAGCGCACTTTCGGGTTGGCGCACGGGAGAGGAGACGCACAGGTATGCCTCATAGACAGTGAGGGGCGCCGGTGTACAGTGACGTTGAAGAACGCCCTCTACATACCCTCGTTCCCCCAAGAACTATTTCTGTAAAATCTGCTACTGCAAATGGTGCCAAGGTGTTCTTCAATGAAGGTAACGATGTTCTTGTGGAGCCTGACGGTACGAGATTTAACATTGAGGTGTACAAGAGAATGTATTATCTACAAACAGAATGTAATGAAAATGATGTGTGTAATGTCAGTCATGATATTCAGACATGGCATGAGATCATGGGTCATTGTAATTACGAGGATATACTGAAGCTGCAGGCGGTAACAGTAGGCATGCACATTAACGTTGAAAAGCATAGACCTAACAAAGAATGTGATGTGTGTATAAAGGGAAAGTTCACTCAAACAAGGAACAGAGGTCCCACAGAAAAAGTAAAGACACCACTTGAGCTAGTTAACACAGATCTAGCCGGTCCAGTAAATAATGAGTCCATAGGTGGCTTTAAATATATGCAGTCTTTCACAGATGTGTATACAGGGGCAGTGTTTGTTTACTTTCTCAAAGCAAAGAGTGACGCACTTCAGACCACAGAGAAATTCCTTGCAGATGTAGCTCCGTATTGCAGCGTAAAATGCCTGAGGTCCGACAACGGAACAGAGTTTACAAATAGAGAGTTTCAGTCACTGCTGAGAAGGAGCAAGATCAGACACAAGACGTCCTGTCCTTACTCCCCGCACCAGAACGGGATAGCTGAGAGGGAAGGGCGCACTCTTTTCGAAATGGCTAGGTGTAAGCTAATAGACGGTAACTTACCTAAGAGTCTATGGCATTATGCGGTCCAAGAAACAGCTTACACCAGAAATCGGTGTTTTAACAAGCACACGGGCACCACCCCATATACAGCACTGACAGGAAGAAGGTGTGATCTAGCCAGGATGCACAAGTTTGGGTCAGTGTGTTATGCTTACCAACAGGACAGAGGAAAACTCGAGTCCAGGTGTGAGAAAGGACTTTTTGTAGGGCATGACAAGGGCAGCCCTGCTTTTCTAGTCTATTATCCCGGTAAGGGGAAAGTGCAAAAGCACAGGTTAGTAAAGTTTGTCACAAAGACAACATGTGAGAACGAGACACAGACACAGGAGCCAGAGCTGGACTCCAGAATAGGGTGTGAGAAAAGAGAGACGCCACAGCCTAGTGTACTGAGCACAGACATGCAGACAGACGGTCAACAGCCACCGGAGGATGATGACGAGAAGCACCCTAGGGTGACATCACGTGCCTCATGCAGTGGGAGATATCCCTCCCGGGAACATAAACCCCCAAAGTATCTGAAAGACTATGCCCAGAGAGAAAGTGACGAGGATGACAATACACTTACCAGCATAGATTACTGCTACAGAGTAGTGAGTGGTGTACCTCAGACCTTTAAAGAGGCCATGATATCCCCTGAGTCGGGAAAATGGGAGAGAGCGATGGATGAGGAGATGAGGTCTCTGGAGGACAATCATACTTTTACTCTAACAAAGTTACCCGAGGGTAGACAGACAGTGGGAGGCAAGTGGGTGTACTCAATCAAGGAGGGTATTGAAGGGCGCGACAGGTACAAGGCCAGGTTTGTAGGCTAGTCAGAGGGAAGGAATAGACTACGGTGAGACATTCTCCCCTACAGCTAATCTGACCAGTGTACGGGTAGTTATGCAGAAGGCTGCCTAAGAAGACTTGATTTTACACCAGATGGATGTGAAGACAGCCTACCTGCACGCACCCATTGATAGGGACATATATATGGATACCTATGTATATAAGAAAACTGTTGTTTATGAAGACAACCAGGGAACCATTGCACTTGCCAGAAACCCTGTGTGCCGACAGAGATGTAAACATGTGGATATAAAATATCACTTCATTAGATCTGTCATCAGAGAAGAAAATATGATACTGGTTTACTGTCCTACAGATGACATGGTTGCAGATGCTATGACCAAGCCTGTCTCCAAACTGAAATTGAAAAAATTTGCAGGGGTCATGTTCGGTGTGTAAAATATTGCCTATTATGTAATATTGACTGCCATGTTCTTTTGATGTTTTGAACTGTTATTTTTCTTGGAAAAGTTGTACAGTATACATGTCATTCATAAGTGGGAGTGTTAAGTGTAAGTATTAATATGTCTGCATGTAACTGCACTATAACTGTTCCACAGTAAGAGGGCGCTATAGGCGTAAGGAGGCGCAGCTATTGTCGCTGACGTCAGGTATCAGATATAAGGGATTGTTCCCTCCCCTTCTATCTCTCTCTCTCTAGCTCTCATGGAGAGCAGGTCAAGTGGTGCAATGCACATATGAAAATAAACCACGCCAGTTAAGGCTAAAGAAGACCTCGTCGCCATGACCAGTTTATTACTATACATGTGACTCTGTCAACAGTGATATACACAGTGATAGGTGTTAAAGACTAACGTTTATAATAAATACATTTCTATTGATTTTAAGATATTTTCATAGTTCATACGTATTGGGATCATTTGTATTGATGTGGACCGGAGGGAGAGGGTGACGAGCATACGTTTTGCTTTCCTTTTTAATTCAATTCCAACTTTGGTCATGAAGAATATGTTTCTCTGTTGTCCACGTTCATAAAGCATAAAACAACAGCATCAGAGCACGGTGCAGAGTCTCTAGATGAGTTTACAGTAGTCCCTCGTTCTTATTAAACATCGATGTTGTAGTCCGCTGTATAGAAAACTAGTTTCCATAGTTTCCCCACAGCAGCAGACGCACATTCATGACGTCCGCTGGCGCATCATAAACACATCGGATAGTGAAAGTGTATTCGGATTCTCTAAAGCACCGCAGTCTCTTCTCCTAAATCCTTTTGAATTCTCCTATCCACTATCCCTTAACCCTGTGACGTTTCACTCAGAGGTCAAGGAATAGACGATACGGTTAGAACTTAGAAGCTGATTTTTAAACTATCCGACCGCAACCCCTGCTTCTCGTTGTTTCCTTGCGTCTCTCCATGCTTCCCTGGTGGGAGGGACTAGTCACAGGGAAACGACGCAAGTGAGGGACGCAAGGAATCCATTTAACCGAAGTGAGAAGGGCCCCATGTGTGGAATCCATAGGGCCCTTCTCACTTCTCTTATTTTTCATTTCCTCGCTCCTCGGTCTCACCGGAAGTTGATTTGTCTGCGCCATCTTGAGTATAGGCTACGTCCCAATGGCCTTATTTTTGCCAGAGGAGCGAGGAGTGATAATGGAGGAGCTATAACCGAGGAACCACCAGACCATCCTCCGATGAAATCCTCAGACACTCGCCCCGCCCCCTTACTGTGTATCGCTCACTGATTGGACGAGGCAGTGCATGCACTGATCAATGGGACGTACTTTCCTCCGGAGCGTCACGTGAAGCGACGTCCGTTTGTGATGACGCCGCACAGCTGTTCGTCTGACAGCAGCTCTGGCCCCGTTGTTTTCACAAACACCCCCGCCACACATTTACTGACACAAACATTTGTATCATCTGTTGTAGACCAAATAAATAAAATCAAATAAGAACTCATTCTCAAAAAAGATAAACGCCATTCTTAAAATGTAAACGAACAATAGTTTGATTAATATTGATTAGAGTGCACAATAGAAATAAAATAATTGAGAGAAGAAAAAGAGATATGTTATATATCAAAACCCAGTTAGATTAACATTCATTGGATTGCACACTTTGTTTGTTTGTGTGGATATGTAGCAAATTAACATTTTAATAGCACTTAATGACTGACTGAATGGAAATGACAATAAATGAAAATCTAAAACGAAAAAAGTGATCATGAAAATGGTTCCAATAAATGAAGAAAATGATTTTTGACCACTTTGTTGTTCAGATATATCACATATTTGTAACTAAATTATACATTAATTGAAACAAAACACGGTATAAACTGAGGAGTGACTCCCGTGAGGTTCATGTATTTTCTTCACTCTGCTGGGAAACTGCTCTCATGTCAAGAAGCATCAGATCACTGCCTCGTCCAATCAGTGAGCGATACACAGTAAGGGGGCGGGGCGAGTGTCTGAGGATTTCATCGAAGGATAGTCTGGTGGTTCCTCGGTTATAGCTCCTCCATTATCGCTCCTCGGGCAAAAATAAGGCCATTGGGACGCTACTCAAGATGGCGCAGACAAATCAACTTCCGGTGAGACCGAGGAGCGAGGAAATGAAAAATAAGAGAAGTGAGAAGGGCCCCCTATATATAAAGGTGGAATCCCTTCGCTTGCAAGAGCCGCCATGTTGGATGGATTTTTCTCGTTTCGTCGCAACATCATGACGTCAGACGCTGGGTGACTGTTCACTAATTCAAATTTGAATATTCACTCATAAACTATGATCCACATAAAATTAAACAGCACTTTTCGTTAAAAGAACGTATACGTTTATTGTTCGGTTGACTTGATATTTGGTTTTGATTGCAGTACCCATAATACTTATGAGTTAGTAGTACTGTTGGGGTTTACAGTGTGTGCACATCTTGCAAAGCTTAGTGTGCCATATTATGACATTAGGATTGTTAACACCGACATGTCACACATGTACAGGTTTAAATAAAGAAATACATGATGACAGTTGATTAGTACACTGTGTCTTATTAGAAACACCAGTTTTTTTCCAATGTGGTAAAAAAGGCCTGTCTTACAAAAGTATATTTTTTTCAGATCCTACAGCAAACATGCTTATTGTAATTAAAATGTTTAGTAACAAAATACATTCTCATACACAAATATTATACACATATGAAAAGTCTTGTGTCCGTTGGTTCACTGGTATGTACAGCTAAAAAAAAAAAAAGTGGAGGCTCAGGGCTTGTTCCTGCCGTGGTGGAAATCAGGGACAAAAGTAGCAGCCACTGTGATCGGAGTAGAGTAGCCCAGGGCAAAATTGTACAGACCGAGCATTAGACACTTCCAGGTGGAGCGCAGAGCCTTGCCAACATTCTGAAAGACAAACATACAGCCAAAGATTAATCATTATTCTGTAGATTTAAAGTAACCTGTTCCTTCATTCAAATGAGGGTTCAAAGATAAATAAAACTACACAACCATGGCCCTTTCTCATTTAATCAATTCCCCCTCCTCGACTCCTCGGTCCTCCGGTAGTAACCCGGAAATGGATTTCAGCGCGCCATGTTGAAGGACATCTAATTTCTCTAAATGCACTTCGAGGATCGAGCGTCGAGGAGGCTCTCTGGAGGAGCAATAACCGAGGATACACTGATGGGTCCTCCACGGCTCCTTCGTGGATGCATTTCCGGCAACAGAGATGTTTCAAAGAGTCGTGACGCACGGCCGGACATATCTCAGCCAATGACAGCTCTGCATGCATCCCCTGGATATTATTTTACCAACTGCTTTCATCGCGATGCGATGTTTAAAGTGAGAACAGCTGTGAGGTCCGTGCAGAAAGCAGAGCAGTGCGTATAATATCCATAACTTTATAGGCTATTAGCTTAAAACTCGTCAGGCACTAGATCACTTCTTCTTCAGGTCAGGCTACGCAGTACTCAGGCTAAATGTCCCGCAGCAGCTGACTCTCTGGTGGACTCCGGTACTGCACATTACTCCCGAGACGTTTTCAACAAAAACTTTTTTTTTTCTTCTTTTTTTAAGTGAAACATCCGGGGCTTTTCAGAAAACATCCGGGGCTTGATCCCAAGTAGCCACCCCCTAGCGCCGCCACTGGTACTAAGTCTCGATGATAGGAGTCGAGGAGGGGAATTAGTGAAATGAGAAAGGGCCCATGTCAGAAGTATTTCAATAACATCATTGTTTAGATTATTATTCCGTCTTTTGTATTAAAATAGGACTCGTACTTCATTTCCAAGCACAAACACTTGTCATACAATGACAAATATACTTGTTTTTAATGATACTTTGTGTTACTAAGCTCAATCAGTGGTTTTGACAGAATTTGGGAATAAAAAGACCTATAATCAGTCAGAAGCTGGAGAACACATGTGGTGTGGTCAGAACAATAGCACCATGAGGAGAGCTGCAGTCTGTATTTAACCCTGAAATGTAAACAAAAAGCCCTGTGAATACTATTGTCTCCTGAGCTCTGAACAGGAAAAGGCCGACCGGTACTTCCTTCCTCCTTGGCTGAACTTATCAAAACTGATACACATAAAGCAATCCAAACTGTCACCTGTATATTAAATGTGATTTTAGTGTAAAAGCAGTTACTATCTTGACTTAAATTCAGATGAATCTTCAGTTAATGTAGAACAGATCAATACAAATCTTCAAATAAGACATTACCCTCTAGTTAAAGATTTTGATCTTTTATACGATTAAAAAAAGAAATGGATTATATTTGGTTTATTTAAACAAAAACACTTTTTTTTTTTAAATTCCAATTAATTTGTTAAATCATTTGGATTGAGGCTGATTTTGCCCGAGTGTTCACATTTGCCTTGGATAAACATGTAGTTTTAACAAATCCACTATTTAGAGGTACTAGATTTATTTTTAAAGTATCGCAAGAATCAGACAAAAGATACAAATAAGTTAACTGTAACTTTCTATCTGATCAGGTTTTTAATTACGCTTTGCCAAATCTTTCCAACAAAGCAGAACAAGATGCACACACACCCATCAGTAGGCGGTTTTTTCAGTACAACAGGACATTAACAGAACACCAACCTTCCTGACTTTTTTGTACATTTCTTTCTTCCTTTTCTTCTTCTCTTCTTTTGCCTCGTCTTGCTCCTCCTCATCTACCAGCGGCTCATACGTCTCTGGCAGAAATGCAAAATGAACTCCTCGATGGCTCTTCTCATTTTGTCTGTTGTCACCCACTGTTCGGCTGTCGTTGTGTCCAGAGTGATCCGGGCTCTCCTGGTGATCCACATGTTGCTGATATTTTGCTGCTTGTACATTGAGAGTGTCACCTGAGGCTGTATTTCTATCAAACAACCTCAACGGAAGAGATTTGGTCTTCATGTTGTCCGCTTATCGCAGTGCTCAGGGATGTCATAAAAAGTACCACTTGCCTCAGGAGGTCAGGTATGTTGTCAGCAGATGTTATGTGCATGAGTGGAAGTGCATTCCAACGGACCGCCTTGTGTGGAGGATTTGGCACAGAGCTCTTAAAGGTGCAAAGCATTCCTCCTCACAAGACTGACCCTAAAAGCGTTTCACGTTTTAAAGCAGATTCAAATCACACTGACTTTTATCCAGAGAATGGGCTGAAGAGGACAGCAGGATTATGTGTGTACTGTGAGATGAACTTGAATTATGACTTCCAGTTAGCGAGACAAGTACAGAAATTGTCCTGACATATGCATAAAAAACACCAACACTGTATTTTTCCCAACTCGTTTGTTTTAATTTACATAAAACAATATCATTAACTTAGAAATGTGCCAGTTATAACAACAAATATTTTGGCAAGGTATAAACAAAATTCCCATCCTTCCCCCTCTATATAACAGAACTTAACATTATATACCCGGTTCAGTGTAACAAAACATTTAATATAGCTTAGTATTAGAACTACTACTCGTCGTCGCCGTCTTGACTACTTTGTTCCTTTATGCCACGATCTGGGTCTTTGAGACGGAGGATGCGGATATTTTTGCTCTGTGGAAGAGAGCTGAAACAAAAAAAACAAACATGACAATGTGACTTGGAGACAAAGTGTCTGGTGCTCTTTCCCAGAGAAACTAGGCAGCATATTGAAATCACATGACCTTTACGCCTGAACAGATTTACTTAATCAAAGCTCATTTATTAAGAATATATAAACAGTAACCAAGTCAATAAATCATATTTGAGTGGTCCTACTGCTTTGATATACAAATATATAAACTAGGGCTGTCAAGTTAACGCGTTAATAACGCAAACAAAAATTAACGCCACTAATTATTTTAACGCGATTAACGCATGTGCATTTTTTGTCCTCGGCCACCCCGTAGTTTCAGAGCGCATCGAGTTTAAAATACCATCTACAAGCTGATGCTGACAGCCCCTCTCCTGCCGCCCGCTTGCTGCAGACCACACTTCCACGCTCCCTGACTGGCCATCAGGAGGACCGGGAGAGACCTTACGCGTATTGTTGTTGTTAGCATCTGGTGCTAGCTAGCTGTGCTAACGGATATAAGGAGCTGTTTCAATGAAAACAGAGGAGTGACATTTCGCCGACAACTGCGCCGAGCACTTGACTTTATGCAGGTAACCAGACAGTGGGACATTGTACGAAAAGTCAGCACACTCAAATCGGATAGTGCGCGCAACATGATTGCAGCGTCCAGGCAGCTCCCGTTCGAGCATATGCCTTGAGTTGCAAATAGCTCCAACGATCCATCACACACACACACACACACACACACACACACACACACACACACACACACACACACACACACACACACACACACACACACACACACACACACACACACACACACACAGTATTATTGTATGAGAGAGGTTCCAGGTTGAATTGAGGCGAATATTTGTAATGTTCAGAGGTTGTTGTTTAATATTCATGAGAATTGTTGTCATTGTTCAAATGATAATAAACATTTGCATAAAGCATATTTGTCCACTCATATGTTGATAAGAGTATTACAAATATTCCTCTAAGGTACATTTAGAACAGATAAAAAATGTGCGATTAATTTGCGATTAACTATGGACAATCATGCAATTAATCGCGATTAAATATTTTAATCGACTGACAGCCCTAATATAAACATGTAATCAGTGAATACCTTATGCTCTGTGGTGTGAGGAAGATGAACTGTCTGTAGCGCTGACCGGAAGCCACCTTTAGCATCATGTCCATTGAGATCCTCCTGTTCACCATGTCCTAAAGAAAACCAAGACTCATGTTATCTTTTGATAAATAAGGCTATAGAGACCATTTCATGTAATGCCAAGACCTTGCATAGGAACTTTCTCCAAACTCCTTCCTAAAATAGTAATTCCATGCTATTTTTAAGATGCCATTTAGGCACGGTGCAACCTTATCTAGACAAACTTGCAATATCAACAAAATAGGTTTTGTATTACCATGAAAACATCAAACTCGTCAAGACAGCGGAAAGGCGCCTCTGTGATGGCCCAAAGGGAGACCACAAAGCACACGGTGGAGAAGGAGCGCTCGCCTCCGGACAGAGAGCGCATGTCACTCAACTCCACACTGCTTCCCTGGCCTGGCTGCACCTACAGAGGGAAGAAGCCAAACAAAAACATTTGATCTAAGCCAAACTTTTTTCACCGAGGGCCACATACAGAAAGATATTCGAAGGGCTGGGCCACTCACTAGAGGTGAGGTTTATTGCCTCATAAGTGAAGTTATAAGTTAGCTAAATCAATCAAATGTAAGTAAATTGTGCTTGGTACAGCAGCCTACATCACAACTCTCCAGAGGGTTTCATTTATTATTACATTATTACATTGCATTTAGCTGACGCTTTTATCCAAAGCGACTTACAATAAGTGCGTTCGACCAACAAGATACAAACTTGAAGAAACAGAATCATATAAGTACATCAGGTTTCATAGAGCTAAAACATTTCAAGTGCTACTCAACTGGCTTTGGATAAGCCAGTCCTATTAGTATATAAGTGCTTTGTTAGCAATTATTTGTTAGTAATTATATCGCTCGAAGTGGAGTCGAAAGAGATGAGTTTTCAGTCTCCCCCGGAAGATGTGTAAGCTATCTGCTGTCCTGATATCAATGGGGAGCTCATTCCACCATTTTGGAGCCAGGATAGCAAACCCAGGTGCTGATGGGAACTTGGGTCCCCCTCACAGTGAGGGTGCAGCGAGCTGTTTGGCTGATGCAGAGAGGAGTGCACGTGCTGGGGTGTATGGTTTAACCATGTCCTGGATGCAGGAAGGGCCAGATCCATTCGCAGCATGGTATGCAAGTACCATTGTCTTGAAATGGATTCTAGCAGTTACAGGAAGCCAGTGAAGGGAGCGGAGGAGCGGCGTGGTGTGGGAAAATTTAGGAAGGTTGAAGACCAAACGAGCCGCTGCATTCTGGATGAGCTGCAGAGGTCGGATGGCACATGCAGGTAGACCAGCCAGGAGGGAGTTGCAGTAGTCTAGGCGTGAGATGACGAGAGCCTGGACCAGAACCTGCGTCGCTTTCTGGATTTATTTTGTTAGTAGCTCATTCCTTAACCAGTTAAGCCCGAAGGTCCCCCCAGTGGACCCCTCCCACAGTTTTTTTTCTTCTCACATGTCTCAGGGCTTCTTAACATTTATGAAACTATTAATGTTTCATACCCTTTTAAAGGTAAGAAACTCCGCTAACTGACAATAAGAACAATTGTTAGCTAAAAAAAACCACAAGAGTAATACCAAGCCTTTGAATTAGCATTGAGCGAAAAAATGCTAACTAATGCTAACGCTTTTTTACACACAACACACGGTAGAAATGCCCTTATTACTATCTTAACTGCACAAACAAGATATACGATTTAAAGCTGAGACTCCACAGATTCCACACATGTAATGTCATCACTGTCCGACCTCGAATTCCTGGAGCTATCAGCCAGAAAAGAGAAAGTAAACAACATCCGGTTTCAAAAATATTACAATAATTACGTCTTACCTTTTTTGATTTGTGATCAAAAGTTGTGTTCAACGGAATAAAAACGCATCTCAAGGTTAATCCAATGTCTTTGTGTCACGTATAATTTTTTACTGATAATCAATCATCATATTTATGGCAATATACTCGGTATAAAGTATTGCCGTCCAGGCTTGCACTTTCAGATATGCTTCGTTTGCTTCTCTATTACATCCGCTAATCCGGTAATGTTTACGTAGATTTGGGAACTGCCCATCGATTCTATTGGTTCTGATGGTTAAGAAAAAGGTGTAAATCACACGAATCGACCAATGGGTTTCAGAGATATGGTCCTGCGTAAAGTATAAAGAATGCCAGCCAGCTTAAGTACATTACGCAGCCGACTTCATTTATTGTTTACAACGTAACGAAGCAGGAAATGCAGCAGGACCCAGAGCGCACGGAGCACAGAGCGGACAGCAGATAACGGAATTGCAGTTTTATTGCTTATAGATTATCAGAACATTCCAAAGGGGACACAGCCCCATTGGATATTAATCTATGGATTAACTACATCATCGTTTTTATCGTTTTAATGCCATTGAAGACCAGTTTAGACCAGACAACGAGGAAGGTAAGTCATTGTTAGCCTAGCGCATTAGCGCTAGCGCCATTTGTTTTGATGTACGTTTTTGTTGATAACGTCGCGAGTTTGTATCTTTCAGTGTTGGGCTGTTCAGGTGGGCACCGTTAGATTCTGTGTCTCCTTGCGATCATAAACAATGTGTTGGATGTGCAGCTAGGATAAGTAATAAGGGAGCGAGGAGTGATTTTCGGTGCTGTAATAGGTTAGCATTTTTCGCTCGGGGCTAATTCAGAGGCTCACTGTAAGAGTAGGCCTATGTTTTATTTTATTTTTTCACAACAGTTGTATTTGGATGGAATGAATACCTATAGTGATAATTCAAAGTAATAAAATGATTTTTACAGTGAAAAAGTTCAAATGGAACCGATGGTTCCCAAATTACCCAGAGGTGAGTCCGCTTAGACTTTATTTTTCTAAATCTCTCTAAAAAGGTCAAATTTCACTTGTTTTGCATCAATCTTGATACAGGGTACTTATTATATGTTATAGTTTGGATTCCTAAAGCTTTTAGTCTACTAACCCATCATGCAAGGGTGGTTTTCACGATAAGTAAAGGTTTTTTTTTAGGTGGACATTAGAATTTACAAGTTTTTACTATGTTCCATCTGAATTTACTTTAAAATAAAAACATCTATATTGATTCTGACACTTCTACATCCAACTCACAGATGTAACCTTGCTTTGAGAAAAATAATTATTAATTTACCTCTTTTAGAAGTGAAGATATATCATTTGTTGTGTTAGTGGCATTTTCGAGCCTGAAACCTGAAAAACAGGCTCAGGGCTTAACTGGTTAAAGAAGGTAAACAGACATCAAGGTTTGTCCTGTATGTTACAAATTGGCGTCTATGATAATTATTTCCATAACAGAGTGTGCTGACTTTTCGTACAATGTCCCACTGTCTGGCTGCCTGCATAAAGTCAAGTGCTCGGCGCAGTTGTGG